TCTGTGCCCGTGCTGTCTGTGCAGATCTGGATGTGCTGTACTGGAAGCAGCAGAAGGAGCGGCTGGCGGCACAGAGGAAGCTGCAGAGCAGGATGGTGAGCATCTGCAGGAAGGGTTGGGGTTATGGTGGGAACCACGCTGGGTAGGGGCTCAGTGCTGCTTTTCCCCAGGGCCCACCCTTGTCACTACCACCAGAGCATGAGGAAGAGGAGGAGGAAGAGCTGGATGCGCTGGAGGAGGAGCGGGGCAACGAAGAAGATGGGGAAGCAGCGGGTACTGCTGGAGCCCCCAAGGGCTGAGCTGCTGTGGGGGGCCGTGGGAGGTCCTGAGCACGGGCTGCTCTTCCTGCAGATGACTTTGTGGAGCACGAGGACATCCAGGAGGAGGATGTGGAGAATCTAGTCGAGAAAGCTATGGGTGAGCCCCTGGGGGAGCTGTGAGGAGGGTACCTCATCCTTCAGCCACTGCGGCGCGTCCTGAGCAGCCGCTGGGTTCTGGCTTTGTGTCCCACCCATGGGGAACATGCGTCCCTGTCCTCACCTGGTGGCCCAGGACCAGGCACACAGTTTTGCCCCCACCACCCTGGTGACACTGCCCTCTCACAGCTCCCTGTGATGCGGACGCGCTGAGCTATGAGGAGCTGGTGAGGAAGAACGTGGTAAGTGCTGCGCCTGAGCTCAGGGCAGGGGGACAGCGTGGGTGCCGTAGGCATCCCTCATCCCCACGTTGTCCTCTTCCTCATTCTCCCTGCGTCCCTTTGCACCTGCAGGAGCTGTTCATTGCCAATTCCCAGAGGTATGTACAGGAGACAGAGCTCTCCCAGCACATCCGCCTTTGGGAGGACAAGATGGGGCCGGCACTGCAGGAGCAGGTACATTGCTGAGGGAGTTGGGGGGGACCAGCAGTGGGGCTGGAGGGGGAGGCAGAGACTCACCCTCCTGTCTTGCAGGAGGAGCGCACGGCCTTCGACATCCACAGCTATGGGGACAGGCTGGCAGCTCGCTTTGGCAGCCTGGGTGAGTGGCAGTCCTTTGCCAGCCTGGTGGCCGGCCTGCCCCCCTTCGAGGTGTGCCGCTACATGCTGGCCTCATTGCAGCTGGTGAGTGTGGGAGGGAGTTTCTGGGGGGGGGGGGGGACAGGAGGAGGGGGAAAGGGGTCCCGCTGCAGCCCCCCGGTCCCTGCTGCAGCCCCCCAGTCCCTGCTGCTCTCCCCAGGCCAATGACTACACCGTGGAGGTGGCACAGGACCCAGGCTTGGAGGAGGCGGTGGACACAGTACGGCTGCGGCTGCTGACACGGGAGCGGGCACACGAGCGCTTCCGCACCTACATGGCCCCTTCAGCCTGCCAATGAGCCCCTCACCCCTTGTTTCCCCCCCCCCCCCCCCCATCCATTCTGTACAGCCCCCATCCCCTACGATCCCCCAGCACCAGGGCTCCCCTGGCTCCCAGCAATAAACCTGCCAACTTTGGTAAAGTCAGCCTTGTTTTTGGGGACGTGAACAGAGCATCCCTGCAGGGTTTATGGAAGCAAGAAGAGTCCCTTTGGGGGCTTCCCCTGTCCTGGCATGGCTGCAATCCTCAGTCAAGGAGTGGCTCATAGCTCTCCATGTGTCGCCGCACGCTCTCAGCGATCTTGTCAGCCGTCTTGCTGCGGTTGTAGTAATCCAGGAAGAGCCCATCGGGGCCCAGCAGGTAAATGACGATGGTGTGGTCCACAATGTAATCACCATCCTCATCCTTAGGCCCGGCGCTGGCGTAGACACGATAGGCGCTGCTCACCGCCCTCACCTGCTCAGGGCTCCCCGTCAGCCCCAGCAGCCGCGGGTGGAAATCCCGCACGTAACGTCGCACCGCGGCCACATCGTCTCGCTCGGGGTCCACAGTGATGAAGAGCGGCTGCACCCGGGGCAGAGCCGCGTCGCGGTCCAACAGCTCCACCACCCGGCTCAGTTTCTCCAGCTCATCCGGACAGACGTCGGGGCAATGCGTGAAGCCGAAGTAAAGCAGCACCCACTGGCCGCGGAAGTCGGCTTTGCAGCGGGGCTGCCCGCGGTGATCCACCAGCTGGAAGTTGCCTTGCCCCAGCGCCAAAGCTCGCAGTTCCCGCTGCCGTCTCTCCCGTCGCTCCCGTTCTTTGCGGGCCCGCAAATACAGCCACGTTCCCCCAGCCGCGCTCCCCACCGCCGCCACTACGGCCAAGCGGCGGCCCAGGGGCAGTGACCGGGTCGGATCCCCCCGAGCTCCGCTCAGCCCGCGGGATGGGGCTGGGAGTTGCGGGGGGCGGAGGGGGAGACGGCGCAGGCAGCGGGCGGGCAGCAGAGCCATGACCGTGGCGGGGGGCTGCGGAGGAAGGGGCGGCCGTGAGAGCCCTTAGGGCGGCAGCCGCATTCCCCCCCCCCTCACCCCATAGACCCCCCCCCCGGTCTCCTGGCTTCCTGCCCTACCTCTGTGCCCTCTGACCCCGCTGCCCAATGAGCCCCATCTCTACGCCCTCCGTTGCTTTCTGACTCTGTTCTACACTGCAACAACTCCCCACCCCCCCAAACCCTCCTGGTGCCCTTTCACCGCCTCCCTTCCCCTCCCATTCCCCCACCCCCTTCCCCGCAGCCTTCTGCCCCCTCGCCCCATCCCACCTGGCCGGCGCCGCAGCGCCCACACCCGGAAGTGACTCACCGGAAGGGGCGGGACCATGCGACTCGCGGCATGCGCGGTGATGAGGCGGAGTCTTGTGCAGTACCGCCAGGGGGCGCCATAGCGCCGCGGGATAGTGCGGGCCGCTCTGCCTGGCGCGCAACCATAGAGCGGAGAGGGATGGGAGGGAGCGCGAACCATAGAGTGCGGTGGGATAGAGGGGACACCACGGCCTTGTACTAGCTGCTGATGCGCAGCGCCCCAGCCAGGTGGTGCAGCCACGGCGCTGATGGGCTGCGCTTACCCAAATGAGAACCCCAAAAAGGGGGACCCCAAAATGAGAACCTCAAAAGGGGGATGCCGAATGGAATCCTTAAAAAAGGGACCCCAAAAGTGAGAAACTGAACAGGAGGGCCCCAAAAATAGAGAACCTCAAGTGGGACCCCTAAAAAAGGGGACCCCAGAAATGCATACCCCAAGAGGTATGAAGACCCCAAATAAAACCTCAAAAGGGGAACCCCAAAAGGGGAATCCTAAATGGAACCTCTAAAAAAGGGGATCCCCATAATGAGAACCCCAAAAGGAATCCCTAAAGAAGAGGACCTCCAAAATGAAAACTCAATAGGGGGGTCCTTAAATAGAGAACCTCGAGTAGGAACCCTAAAAAAAGAGACCCCAAAAATGCATACTCCAAGAGGTATGAAGACCCCAAATAAAACCCCAAAATGGGAATCCAAAGAGGGGGACCACAATCCCTAAAAAAATGGACCCCCAAAATGAGAAACTCAATAGGGGGACTCCAAATAGAGAACCCAAAAGGGAAATCTCAAATGGGACCCCTAAAAAAGGGGACCCCAAACATTGGAACCCCAATAAGAGGGCTCCAAATGGAGACCTCAATAGGGAGACTCCAAAATTGGAACTGCAAAATGGGAATCTCAAAAGGGTGACCCCAAAAAACGCAAACCCCAATAGGGAGAACCCATAAGGGGGAACTCGAAAAAGGAAACCCTAAATGGAACCCCTAAAAAAGTGAACCCCATAATGAGAACCCCAAAAGGGAACCCCCAAATGGGGCCCCTAAAAAAGGGGGCCACCCAAAATGGAGACCCCAGATGGAGAACCCAGAATGGGACCAAATTGAACCCATAAAAAAGGAGACCCCCAAAATGGAAACCCCAAAAAAGGGGACCCAAAAAAGGGAACCCCAAAAGGGGAAATCTAAATGGAACCCCTAAGAAAGGGGACCCCCAAATTAAGAACCCTAATAGGAGGACACCAAACGGAGACCCCCCAAAATGAGGGACCCCAAAAAGGACCCTAAAAAAAGGGGAAATACTGGGGGATTTGGGGCACTTAATAACAAAAATATTAAACGTTGTCAGTCATAATTGTGTTGCCAATGACACGTAGTGGTACAAGGAATTGGGGCACTAATAATAATATTAATAATGGGGCAATCATCGACGATAGGAAATAGAGTGGCCAAAGTGGTGGTAATGAAGGGGTTGGGGCACTTAATAATAAAAATAATCAGTAATGCATTAATAAGAGTATGGAATGTGATAAATTTGGGCAGAAATCGGGAAAGTATTGCTGCTAATAATAATGGGGTATTAATCAGCATCAGAAACATGGAAATGGTGATAATGGGGAGCTGGGGCACTAATAATGGTGACAATATTAATTAATGTTAATGTTCATAATAATGGGATAAGAATAAAAAATAGTGTTGAAGTGGGCGAAGTTGGGTAATAATAATAATAGTAATAATAACGTTAATAATAAACGTAGTGATAACAATGGGAATTATGGGGGATTTGGGGAAATAACCATAATGTTGTTATTAATAAAATTAATCCCATTAGTAATCTTAATGATAATATTAAATAATATTATTGTTTTGTTTTATATTATTATATTCTCTGAAGATGTTGTATTAATGCAAAATGATAAATTATTATATAACTATTGTTATTATTATTACTTATAATAATAATTAATATATTAATATTAATATTAATATTAATATTAATATATTAATATAACAAACGATAACAGTATAAAAGATAACGATAACGGTAATAATAGCCGCGAAGACAATAAAAATAACAAGATCAGTAATAGTGAATAGAAAAGGATGAAAAAAATAATAATATTACTGATGATAATAATAATAAAAGCGATATTAAGCACTAATCAATCAATGCCAAGCAACGCGACCGGAAGCGGAAGAACCCGCCCTAGTCCTGCTCTCAACCAATAGCGAGCGGGACTGAGGAGAGCGCAGCCAATCGCTGCAGGCAGGGGGCGGGAGGGGCGTTTCTTAAAGTGGCCACGTTGGTGTGGCCCGCCTTAAAGCGGCAAGGCTCCTCCCAACCCCTCGCGTCACGGAACGGGGGCGTGGCGCTCTGTATGCAAATGAGATGCTAATGTGGGAGGAAGCGTGTTTGGAGGGGAGCAGCGAAGGGTGCTGGAGAGGGGTGAGAGTGGAGGGAGGGGTCCATGAGGGGTTCTTGTGGGGCTGCAAAGGGGTTATGGGGTCTTCATGGTGGGTTTCTGGAGGGGGGCTTCATGGTGGGCTTCGTGGTGGCATCTGGGGGGGCTTCCTGGTGGCATCTATGGGGGCTTCATGGTGGCTTTGTTGCGTCTTCATAGTGGGTTCTTGAGGGAGGCTTCATGGTGGGGTCATGGTGGCTTCGTGGTGGCATCTGGGGGGGCTTCATGGTGGCTTCTGGGAGTCTTTGTGGGTAATTTATGGTGGGATTGCGGTGGCATCCTGGGGGACTCCATGGTGACATCGTAGTGGCATCATGCTGGCATCTTGGAGGGCTTCACAGTGGGATTGTGGGTGCTTCCAGATGGCATCTCGGTGGCTTTATGGGGTCTTCATGGAGGCTGCACGGTGGCCTCATGTCTCCCATCCCCCTCCAGCCCCCCACCCTACCCTGCGATGTCACTTCTCCTTTCCATGGGGCACAGGGACCAGTTCCTCTTTCGGTCCCCGTTTTTGTCATTGTCCCCACCCTGTGTCCCCAGGGATGGCTGATGTCACTGTGTGACCCATGTGACACTTTTGGGGTGGTGGGGTTTGTGGGGTGAGCGGAAGTGGCTGAGTGGGGTGGGACAGGTCACCCTAAAGAGCACACATGGAGGGTGACCAGAGGTGACCATGGGTGACAATGGGTGACAGGCAACCATGGGTGTTGAGTGACTAGGGGTGACAGAGGTGACCGTGGGTGACCAAAAGTGACAAGTGACCTTGGATGCTGAGTGACCAGGGTTGACCAGAGGTGATCATGGGAGACCCTAAGTAGCAGGTGACCATGGGCAATAGGTGACCAGAGGTGACCGTGGTGACAGATGACCATGGGTGACCATTGGTGGCCATGGGTGACAGGTGACCACCAGCTGGGTGGCTGGGTGACCATAAATGGCAGAGGACAAGGGGGTTAGATGACCATGGGTGACAGATGACCATGGATGTTGGGTGGTCATAGGTGACCAAACGTGACCATGGGTGTAGGGTAACCATGAGTGACCAGAGGTTGTCATAGGTGACAATGAATGACCACGGGTGACTTGGTGGCTGTGGGTGACACGTGACCATGGTTGATAGGCGACCATGAGTGATGGGTGACCAAAATTGACCAATGAGTGACCAGTGGTGATTATGGGTGACAGATGGCTGCGGGTGACTAGAGGTGACCATGGGTGACTTAAGTGACAGGTGACCATGGGTGATCATGGATGAGCAGAGGTCACAGACGACCACAGGTGATCAGAGGTGACCATGGGTGACCGTAAGTGACAGGTGACCATGAATGTTGGGTGACCAAAGTTGACCAGATGTGATAGGTAACTAGAAGCAACCATCGGTGACCAGTGACCAGAGGTGACCAGAGGTGACCACAAGTGACAGATGACCATGAATAGTGGGGTGACCAGAGGTGACAACACCTATTGGATGACCACAAATACCCATCGTTAACCACGGCATCTCCACGACTGCATCTCACAGTTCCCCACGTGCCTCACCACGTCCTGCACCGTGTCACCTCCTCATCACCGCACGGCCTCTGCTGGTGTCCCCTCGTATCCTCCATGGCATCCCCGGTGCCTCGCCGCGTGCGCCTGCGCCCATGGTTGGTGGCCCAGGTGGACAGCGGCCGTTTCCCAGGGCTGCACTGGTTGGACGCGCGGCGCCGGCTCTTTGTGATCCCATGGCACCACGCCACGCGGCACTTCCCGGCACACGGCGGCGATGATGAAACCGTCTTCAAGGTGATTCTGGATGAGCCAACGGCTGGAACGACCGGAACCTGAGCTCTGGTGGCTCTAAGCCCAACCCTAGTGGCCCAAATCCCAGTCCTAATGACCCTGACACAACTCTGGTGGCCCAAACCCCAACCCTAGTGACCCTAAGCCAATCCTAGTGGCCCTAACTCCAACCCTAATGGGCCAATCCCAACCCTAGCAGCCCAAATCCCAATCCTAATGACCCTGACACAACACTGGTGGCCCACACCTCATCTATGGTGGCCCAAACCCCAACCCTGCTGGCTGTTACTCAACCCTAGTTTCCCAAACCCCAACCCTAATGACCCTAAGACAACTCTAGCAGCCCTAACTCCAACCCTAATGGCCTTAACCCCAACCTAGCAGCCCAAATCCCAACCCTAGCAGCCCAAATCCCAATCCTAATGACTCTGACACAATATCGGTGGCCCACACCTCGTTTATGGTGGCCCAAACCCCAACCCTGCTGGCTGTTACACAACCCTAGTTTCCCAAACCCCAACCCTAGTGACCCTAAGCCAACCCTAGCGGCCCTAACCCCAACCCTAATGGCCCTAACCCCAAGCCTAGTGGACCAAACCCCAATCCTAATGACCCTGACACAACTCTGGTGGCCCAAACCCCAACCCTAGTGATCCTAAGCCAATCCTCGTGGCCCTAACTCCAACCCTAATGGCCCTAACCCCAACCTAGCAGCCCAAATCCCAACCCTAGCAGCCCAAATCCCAATCCTAATGATGCTGACACAACCCTGGTGGCCCAAACCCTAACCCTGCTGGCTGTTACCCAACCCTAGTGGTCCAAACCCTGACCCTAGTGACATGAAGCCAAACCTAGTGGCCCAAATCCCAGTCCTAATGACCCCACACAACCTTGCTGGTCCTAACCCCAACCCTAATGACCATAATTCTAAAATTGATGACACAAACTCTAACCCTAATGACACTAACCCAACCCTAATGTCCCAACCCCAACTCTAGTGACCCTAATCCAACCCTAATGGCCCAAACCCCAACCCTAATGATCCAAACCCCGAAGATAATGTCCCTAATCCAACACTAGTAACCAAACTCCAACCCTAATGGCCCAAACCCCAACCCTAATGATCCAAACCCCGAAGATCATGTCCCTAATCCAACACTAGTAACCAAACTCCAACCCTAGTGGCCCTAATCCCAAACCTAGTGGCCCAAACTCCAACCCTATTGGCCCTAAATCAACTCTAGTGGCCCAAACCCCAAACCTAATGCCCCAAACCCACTGACCCCAACCCAATTCTGATGACCACAGCCCCAATGAACCCAAACCCTGATGACCCCAGGAGCACCAACCCATGACCCCAACACAGCCATCATGATCCCAACCCAGTGACCCCAACCTGATGACCCCAACACTGATAATCCCAACTAACTCCACCTCCATGACCCCAAACCCGATGACCCAAATAAACCCACCCCAATGACCCCAGCCCCACTGATCTCATTTCAATGACCCCAAGCCAACCATCATGACCCCAATGTCCCCAACCTGATGACCCAAATCTACCTATGATGACCCCAACCCCACTAATCCCACCCCAATGACTCAACACCAGTAACCCCAACCCAGTAACCCACTGACCCCCACCTCAATGACCCTGACACCAGTGACTCCAAGCCAACTTTGATGACCTTAACCCCAATAACCCCAACCATGTTGACCTCAACCCGACGACCCCAACTCTGATGCCCCAAATGCACCATTCACGATGACCCCAGCCCAATGACCCCACCCCCAATAACCCCACTCCAGTAACAACAACCCAATGACCCCATTCCCATAACCCCAACCCGATTACCCCAATCCAACCACGATGACCCCACCCCCATTAACCACAACCCAATGATGCAATGCCAACAATCCCAACCCACTGACTCCACTGACCCCACTCTGATGACCCCAATGACCCTACCCCAGTCTCCCTGACGCCACTGACCCCACAGGCATGGGCAGCAGAGACAGGGAAGTTCCTTGCTGGGCGGGATGAGCCGGATCCTGCCAAGTGGAAGGCGACGCTGCGTTGTGCCCTCAACAAGAGCCGCGAGTTCCGCCTGCGCTACGACGGCACCCGCGCTGTGCCCCCCCGGCCCTATAAGGTGTACGAGGTCTGTGGGGCCGACGGAGCAGGTATGGGGCTGGGGAGGGCTCAGGTGGAGACATGGGGGTCTGTGCGGTCCCGGCATCCCATAAGTGGCATGGGGTATGTGAAGCTGAGCACCCTGCAGTGTCCCATCACCCTGTGAGGACCTGGCATCCCACAAGTCGCTGTGGGTGTTGTAGGGTCTCAGTACCCCATGGGACCCATTTCTTCCCTCCCAGACACGGTGACCGGGGATGACTTCAGCTGCGGTGGGGAGGAAGAGGAGGAGGAAGAAGATGTCAGTGAGGTACTGGCCCTTGCCACACAGATGGGGGTCCCCCACTCCACACTTGGGGGTCCCCTGCCCCACATTCGGGGGTGTCTCATTCCATAACTGCCTGCTCTCTCCCTGCAGCTGCAGAAGCTGATGTCTCTGAGCATCGATGGTCAGCAGGGATATGGGGTGTCCTATAGGGGAATAATGGAGTGGGGGGCAGCACAGTGGGGTGGGAACACCCTATGGAGGTCAGTGGGGTGGGGATGCTTCATGGAGGGCAATGTGGTGGGAATATCCCATTGGAGACAATGGGATTGGGTTACCCCAGGGGGGAAAGTCAGGGGGGAGGTATCCCGTGGGGGACAGTTAGTGGGGTGGGGGCTCCCCATAGATGATCAATGGAGTGGGGGAAGGGTGATGTTGAGCATCTCGTGGGAGGAAAACACCACAGGGAGTCGACGGTGTGTGGATTCCCCATGGGGGGGCAGTGGAGTTGGGGCACCCTGTAGTGGCAATCAGTGGGGTGGGGGCTCCCCACAGAGGATCAGTGGAGAGAGGGGAGGGGTTGATGCGGGGCAGGCACCCTGTGAGGTGTCTGTCTATGGGGCAGCAGTGTCCTACGGGGAGCAGTGACATGGGGGCTCCTCTGGCCACCCTTTCACCCCACTGTTCCCCAGACTGTGGGATGGACCCGGTGCCCCCCTGGCACGAGGAGCACCCCCCGTTCAGCAACGCCGACCCCACAGTGCCCGTCCTGCCCCCTGAGCTGCCCCCTGAGCTGACCTCACAGCTGCCCCCTGAGCTGAACCCACAGCTGACCCAACAGCTGCCCCCACAGCTGCCTCCTCCGGGACCCCCAGCACTCCTGGAACATGGCGTCCCCAATCTGCTGGCCAGCCCTCACCTGCTACCCCGTAAGCACCAGGTTGGGGTACGGGGTGTGGGGTGGGTGAATGTGGGTATGGAGTGGCTATGGATATGGGGTGGCTGGACATACAGGTATGGGGTGGCCATGGGACAGATGGACGTGAGTATGGGGTAGGTGGATGTGGCTGTGGGCTGGCCGTGGGGTGGTTGGATTTGGCTATGGGTTCGATGTAGCTATGGGGTGGTTGAATTTGGGAATGGGGTGGCAATGGGGTGGGTGGGGGTGAGGATGGGGTGGCCATGGGGTGGATGGGCAGAGGTAACTGAATGTGATGGGATGGGTGGGTATGGGGTTGGGGGAATATGGGGACACTGGCCACAGGGCTGAGGAGATGACAGTAGGGTGGGTGGGCATGGGGTTGGGTGGCTGTGGGGTCAAGGAGGATATAGAGTCATTGACCATGGGGGTGGGAGGCTGTGGGGTAGTTTACTGTGGGGTTGGTGTCATATGGGATGATTGCTGTGGGGCTGGATGGCTGTGGGGTGAGTGGGCATGGGGTCAGGTGGCTGCTATGGAGTCAGGGGGGGATATAGGGTCACTGGGCATGGGGGGATGACAATGGGAGTGGGTTGTAAGGTGGGCAGACATGGAGTTGGGGGGATGTGGGATGGTTGACTGTGGGGTTGGGGGGATATGGGGTCAGTGGCCATAGCATTTTGGGGATATAGGGTCACTGGGCATGGGATCAGAGGGTTGTGGGATGGGTGGCTGTGGGGTCAGGGGGGGTACAGGGTGGGTGGGCATGGAGCTGGATGGTTGTAGGGTGGGTGGGCATGGGGTTGAGGGGTTGTAGGGTGGTCGGCTGCGGGTTTGGCTGGCTGTGGAATGGGTGAACATGGGGTTGGGGGATGACAGTGGGGTCGGAGGAATATGGGGTGGATGGCCATGGGGTAGGACTACGACACAGTCACCCGTGGAGCTGCAGGCTTCCCCCTGCCTAGAAGACCCCCCTATCCCGACCCCATAACCCTGCAGTGACGGACCTGGAGCTGCGCTTCCAGTACCGCGGGCGGCGGGTGAGCGCCCTGACCGTCAGCCACCCCCTGGGCTGCCGCCTGTCCCACGGGGGGTCCCTGCCCCCCACCCCGCAACGCCCCGACCTGCTGGGACACCCCGAGCTCCAGCAGGTCCCCTTCCCCGACCCCGAGGGGATCCCGCACGACAAGCAGCGCCGCTACACCCGCACTCTGTTGGGGGCCATGGAGCGGGGGCTCCTCCTGGAGCTGGGGGGACAGGACCTCTATGCCACCCGCCTCTGTCGCTGCAAAGTGTTTTGGGATGGGCCCTGCGCCCCACCTCAGGACCCCCACCTCGACCCCCGGCCCAACCCCATGGAGAGGGAGAGGAGGGTCCAAGTGTTCAGCCTGCAGCGGTTCCTTGACGGTAAGTGGCACCGGGGCTGGAGGTGAGGGGGTGTGTGGAGACGTTGGGTGGCACTGGGGACATCGAGGAGTCCGTGGGGACATCAGGTGGCACTGGAGGACACAAAGGAGTCCGTGGGATCATCGGGTGGCACCTGCAGACACCGTGAACAGACATCAGGTGGCCTTGGGGGACATCAGGTAGAACTGGGGACACCAAGGATTCCATGGGGATGTCAGGTGGCATTGGGGGACACCATGAAGGGACATCAGGTGGCACTGGAGGACACAAAGGAGTCCACGGGATCACCAAGTGGCATTGGGAGATGCCATGAAGGGGCATCAGGTGGCACTGGAGGACATCAAGTGGCCTTGGGGACACCTGGAAGTCCAAGGGGATGTTGTCAAGTGGCACTGGGGAACATCAGGTGGCCTTGGGGGACATCAAGTGGCAGTGAGGACACTGAGGACTCCATGGGGACATCAGATGGCACTGGGGACACCAGGAAGTTGGTAGGAATATCAGGTGGCACTGGGAAACGCTATGAAGCCCATAGGGACACCAGGTGGCACTGGTGACACCAGGGAGTCCATAGGGACATCAGGAGGCACTGGGGGACATCAGGTGGCACTGGGGACAGTATTGAGTCCATGAGGGCATCAGGTGGCATCAGAAACATCAAGAAGTCAATAAGGACATCAGGTGGCATTGGGGGACATCACAAAAGGATATCAGGTGGCACTGGGGACATGAAGGAGTCCATGGGGATATCAGGTGGCATGGAGACATTGGGGAGTCCATGGGGACATCATCAGGTGGTAGTGAGGACACCAGGGTGTCCATGGGGACATCAAATGGCACTGGGGGACACCGTAAAGGGACATCAGGTGGTAGTGGGAGGATATCAGGGAGTCAGTAGGGACAACAGGTGGCATTAGGGGACATCAGGAAGTCTATGGAGATGTCAGGTGGCTTTGGGGGACAACAGAGAGTCCATGGGAACATCAACTGGCAATGGGGACACCAGAGAGTCCATGGGGACATCTGTTGGCAAGGAATGACATCAAATGGCATTGGGGGACACTGGACAGCCAGTAGGGACATCAGGTGGAACTGGGGGGGGACACTGGAGAGCCCGTTGGAACCTCAGGTGGCAATGGGGACATCAGTCAGCACAGAGGGACGCCCATCAGCCCACAGGGTCATGGGGTGGCATGGGAGGACTGTGGCTGGTGGAGACACTGGTCAGCACTGGGTTGGGGGGAGGTGACATTAAGTGACACCTCGGTGCCCCCCAGGGCTGATCCTGTTCCAGAAGGGGCAGAGCCCAACACCGCCACCCTTCGAGGTCTTCCTGTGCTTTGGGGAGGAGTGGCCCGACCACAGACCCAAGGAGAAGAAGCTCATCACTGTGCAGGTTGGGGGACGCAACGGGGACACGGTGGGGACTGGTTGGGACGCATGTTGGGGACACAATGGAGACGTGAGGGGGACATGATGAGGATGTGTTGGGGACATGGAGGTGACACGTCAGGGATGAGTTGGGGACCCAATGGGGACGTGTTGGGAACTCACAGCCAGGACACGTGGGGGGCACGGTGGCGACACATGGGATTATTTGGGTCGGGGACACAATAAGGATGAGTTGGGGGCATGGTGGCGACATGTCAAGGATGGGCTGGGGATGTGTTGGGGACACAATGGGGACATGGTGGCGACATGTCAAGGATGGGCTGGGGATGTGTTGGGGACACAATGGGGACATGGTGGCGACATGTTAAGGATGGGCTGGGGATGTGTTGGGGACACACTGGGGACACGGTGGCGACATGTCAGAGATGAGTTGGGGACCTAATGAGGACATGATGGGAACCCTTTGGGGACCACCCTAGGAGTCACGTTGGGAGGCAGGATGGGGTCATGGCAGTGACGCACTGTTTGGGGACAGTTTGGGGACAGGACATTGGGGCAAGCAGTGGGGACACAGCAAAGATGCAACGGGAGATGTGATGGGGGACGTGTTGGGGCTGCACTGGGGACACGTGTGATTCGTCCCCTCTCCCCCAGGTGGTGCCAGTGGCAGCACGGCTGCTGCTGGAGCTGTTCTCAGGGGAGCTGTCGTGGTCGGCTGACAGCGTCCCGCTGCAGATCTCGCAGCCCGACCTGAAGGATGCCCTGGTGGAGCAGTTCAAGGAGCTGCACCGCCTGTGGCAGCAGCAGCAGCGCCCGGATCCCGGCCCGCGGCCCCCGCTGTGACATGGGGATGGGGAGAAAATGGGGTGTATGGTCCTTACTGGGGGGGGGAGGAGGCTTTGGGGGCATCCTTGGTGGTATGGAGATGGTGGAGCTCTGGGGACAGTTGGAGAACCGCATCTGGAGCATCACCAGACCTAGAACACTGCTGTAACCAGAGTGCTGAGGCTCCTGGAGCACATCTAGAACGCATCTGGAGCACCTCCAGACGTGGGACATGGCCAGGACTATGGCTGCTCCTGGAGCACATCTGTAAAACCACACCTGGACCTACGATGCTGCTGTGCCCAGTGCTGCCTCTTCTGGAGCACATCTGGAACACACCTGGAGCACCACCACACCTACAACACAGCCATACCTGACTGCTGCTGCTCCAGGAGCGCCTCTGGAACACACATCTGGAGCACCACCTGACCCACAACATCTCCATAACCTGGATCTTCGCAGCTCCTGGAGCACCATGTATTTAAAAAAAAAAATCAAAAATAAAAACAAATCACACCTGGAGCACATCTGGAGCCTCACCATCCGTAGAACGTCACCATACCGGCACCACAGCTGCTCCTGGAGCTCCACACCTGCAACACAACACCTGGAGCACATCTGGAGCCCCGCCACCCATAGAACACCGCCATACTGGGACGCCTGGATCACATCTGGAACACACATCTGGAGCCACCCCACCTCAACCCTCCCCTCCCCCCCCTCAAGAAGCAGACAGGAACCACCATGGGGCTGGTTGGTTTGGTTTTTTTTTTTTCTTTTTTTTTTTTTTTTTTTCTTTTTTTAACCGATTTTTTTTTTCTTTTTTTTCCATTTTTTGCATCTTTTTTTTATTTTTTTTTTTATGTTTTTTTTTTTAATTTTTTTTTTTTTTTTTTATTGTTCTCAAGATGGCTACAACACCAGACGGAACCGCACACCTGGCCCCGGCTCCGTCCCTGCACTCGCACGGCCAAACCCCCCCCCCCCCCTCTCCCAACCCCCCACCCCAACCCTGTGCTCTTCCCCTTCCAAAAAAAAAAAAAAAAAAAAAAAATTAAAACGATTAAAAAATAAAATAAAACCGAAAAAAAAAAAACAAACCAAATTAATGAAACAAACCAAATTTGGAAAAAAAAAATAATAATAATAAAAGGAAAAAAAAATATAATATATATTTTAAGCAGTCTGAACCACACGCGGCCGCGTCCCCGCGCCCAGTCCGCATCCCCACCCCCCAACCAAGCCCAGGAGTGCGGACCCCCCCCCCCTTGGCTGCCAGCCCCCTCCCCAGAGCTCTTCCCTGGGTTCTTCTGATGTCGTTTCAGGGAAGTTTGGGTACTTTTTGGCGCTCATTGAGGGCAAAGTCCCGGTGTGGGGGGTTTGTTTTTTTTCTGGGGGGGGTCGCAGTGTTGGGACGCGCGCTCCTCCGGTGCTGAGCGAGTGCGGCCCCCGGCGACGGCTGCGGGACCAATCGTGGTGGCTTCGTTTCTGTCTTCTGTTAATTAATGGATGTTCCAGGGAGGGGAGAGCTGCAGAGGGTCGTTTCCCCAACCAACCCAACGTGATGTCAACCCCAGCTGAACCACACACCATGTCCCCAACCCAACACCACGTCCCCAACCCAACACCACGTCCCCAACCCAACGCCACGTCCCCAACCCAACGCCACGTCCCCAACCCAATCCAACCCCATGTCCCCAACCCAACACCATGACCCCAACTCAGAACAATGTCCTCCATAAAGCACAAGTGTCCCCAACCAACGCCCCCAACCCAACATGATGTCCCAACCCAACACCATGTTCCCAACCCAATACAACCCCATGTCCCCAACCCAACACCATGACCCCAACTCAGAACAATGTCCTCAATAAAGCACAAGTGTCCCCAACCCAACCAACCCAACCCAACACCACGTCCCCAACCCAACACCACATCCCCAACCCAACGCCACGTCCTCAATCCAATCCAAATCAATGTCCCCAACCAACACCATGACCCCAACTCAGAACAACGTCCTCAATAAAACACAAGTGTCCCCAACCCAACCAACCCAACCCAACACCACGTCCCCAACCCAACACCACGTCCCCAACCCAATACAATCCCATGTCCCCAACCCAACACCATGACCCCAACTCAGAACAATGTCCTCAATAAAGCACAAGTGTCTCCAACCCAACCAACCCAACCCAACACCACGTCCCCAACCCAACGCCACGTCCCCAGTCCAATCCAACCCAATGTCCCCAACCCAACACCATGACCCCAACTCAGAACAATGTCCTCCATAAAGCACAAGTGTCCCCAACCAACGTCCCCAACCCAACATGATGTCCCAACCCAACACCATGTTCCCAACCCAATACAACCCAACGTCCCCAACCCAACGCCACATCCCCAATCCAATCCAACCCCATGTCCCCAACCCAACACCATGACCCCAACTCAGAACAATGTCCTCAATAAAGCACAAGTGTCTCCAACCCAACGTCCCCAACCCAACATGATGCCCCCAACCCAACATCACGTCCCCAACCCAATACAACCCAATACAACCCCATGTTCCCAACCCAACACCACGTCCCCAGTCCAATCCAACCCAATGTTCCCAACCCAACATCATGACCCCAGCTCAGAACAATGTCCTCAATAAAGCACAAGTGTCCCCAACCCAACGTTCCCAACCCAACGCGATGTTCCCAACCCAACACCACGTCCCCAACCCAACACCATGACCCCAACTCAGAACAATGTCCTCCATAAAGCACAAGTGTCCCCAACCCAACGTCCCCAACCCAACATGATGTCCCCAACCCAACACCACGTCCCCAACCCAATACAACCCCATGTCCCCAAACCAACACCATGACCCCAACTCAGAACAACATCCTCAATAAAGCACAAGTGTCCCCAACCCAACCAACCCAACCCAACACCACGTCCCCAACCCAACACCACATCCCCAACCCAACACAACACCATGACCCCAACTCAGAACAATGTCCTCAATAAAGCACAAGTGTCCCCAACCCAACGTCCCCAACCCAACATGATGTCCCAACCCAACACCATGTCCCCAACCCAATACAACCCAACGTCCCCAACCCAACACCACGTCCCCAACCCAACGCCACGTCCTCAATCCAATCCAAATCAATGTCCCCAACCAACACCATGACCCCAACTCAGAACAACGTCCTCAATAAAACACAAGTGTCCCCAACCCAACCAACCCATCCCAACATGATGTCCCCAACCCAACGCCACATCCCCAACCCAATACAACCCCATGTCCCCAACCCAACACCATGTCCCCAACTCAGAACAATGTCCTCAATAAAGCACAAGTGTTCCCAACCCAACCAACCCAACCCAACATGATGTCCCCAACCCAACACCACGTCCCCAGTCCAATCCAACCCAATGTCCCCAACCCAACACCATGATCCCAACTCAGAACAATGTCCTCAATAAAGCACAAGTGTCCCCAACGCAACGTCCCCAACCCAACATGATGTCCCAACCCAACACCAAGTTCCCAACCCAATACAACCCAACGTCCCCAACCCAACACCATGTCCCCAGTCCAATCCAACCCAATGTCCCAACCCAACACCATGACCCCAACTCAGAACAATGTCCTCAATAAAGCACAAGTTTCCCAACCCAACGCGATGTCCCCAACCCAATCCAAGACAATGCCCCCAATCTAACAGTGTCCCCCAACCCAATGTCCTCAACCCAACACCATGCCCCCAGCCCAACACGATGTCCCCAGCTGAACCCAGAACAATGTCTCCAACCCAACACCACATCTCCCCAACTCATCCCAACCCAATGTCCCCAACCCAACAGTGGCATGTCCCCAAATAACCCGTAACAATTCCCCAGTCAAACACAATGTCCCCCCAACCCCACACCATGTCCCCAATGCAGCGCCATGACCCAACTCAATGCGTTCTCCCCAACCCAACATGATGGTCTCCAAACCAACAAAATGTCCCCAGCTGATTTCAGAAGAATGTCCCCAGCCCAGAGCTACGCCCCCAATCCCATATCATGTCCCCAGTCTAACATGATGCCCCCAACTCAATATCTCCAACCTAACACAACGTCCCCAATCCAACATCCCCAACCCAACATGACGCCCTCAACCCTACAGTGCCACATCCCAACCCAATGCGATGTCCCTGATCAAACCCAGAACAATGTCCCCAATAAAGCACAATGTCCCCAACCCAGCACCACCTCCCCAGTCCAACCCAGCACAATGTCCCCAGCCCAACCTAGCACCATGTCACCAATCCAACTCAACACGGTGTTCCCAACAAAGTGCCATGACCCCAACCCAACGCGATGCCCCCAGCTGAACCTAGAACAATGACCTCAATCCAGTGCCATATCCCCAGCACAACTCCATGCTCCCAACCCAATTTGACAGCTCTAGCCCAACATGATGCTCCCAGCAGAACCCAGATCAATGTCCCCAACACAGCATCATGTCCCCAACACAGCATAACAGCCCCAGCCCAGCGCAATGTCCCCAACCCAACGTCCCCAGCTGAACCTACAACAATGTCTTCAATGTAAGGCTTTGTCCCCAATGCAATCAAATGCCCCTGATGCTCCCATCCCAATGTATGCCCCCAGCCATGCCCCTGGGGGTCTGCTGCCCCCATATTGGCCCCCAGTCTCCTGTGTCTTACCTGGGAGGCAGGCGCCGTGCTGGGTGCAGGGCGCAGGCTATCGGAATAGGCGGGTGAAGTCCCGCAGAGCCCAGCAGACCTGCTTACATTCCTCCGCACTGCAAAGGGAGGAGCATTAGGGGAGTGGGAGAGATGCACAGAGGGATGGAGACAGAGGGGTCGGAGAGATGTACCGAGTGGTTTGGGACAGATGGACCCGCTGGGGACAGACAGACCCCATGGGGATGCACAGTTCAGTTAGGGATGGATGGACCCCTCAAGGACACACTGATCTGTCCTCACTGGGGACAGATGGACAGAGCTGCTAGGGACACACGGTCCCTCTGAGGACAGACAAATCT